TTATCATAAAAATAGTATAGTTTCAATAGGTTTCATGCTTATACGTTTTTGTTATCGTTTTACTTTATGTGTTGGCCATTTGATCAAATTTGGGGCAATGATTCAGGCCGATAATTTTTTTTATAAACACCCACCCACACCTCTCTCTCTCTCTCTCTCCCTCTCACGCACACACGCACATGTACACACACACACACACACACACACACACACACACATATATATATATATATATATATGAAGAAAAATATACAGAAAAACAAACAAAAATCTTAATATGCAATTATGCTGTATTAATGTTAATATAACGTCAACGTCGGACGTTTCGGTCTATTTTAGACCATCTTCAGGACATTTTCATTTAAACATAATTAACATTAGAACATATAAAAATTCAACACGAAAAGACGATGGACATAAGAGCACAACTAATCCAAACAGATAACTGAAATTTTTATATAAGATCAGCGTTCCGTTTAAATATGATCATGTCGTCGTCACGTGGGCGATGTTGTGAAAACGTATTCGAAGATGATTTCCAAATATTAAAATATTAAAAAAGTCGATTGAACTATTTTATATAAACAGTTCAAGAAATCCCTTCCGTTGATATATGAATACGCAGAGATCAATAGGTTCTTATATTTTCATAAAAGCTTGAAGTCCTCCACGTTACAAAGCAAATCAAAAAATGATTTCAAAATATCAGAACGATGGAACAATTTTAAAAACAGTTCGATAATAAATCCTTTCCTTACTTGATCAATAGATTCTTATATTTTCGTACAAGCTTGAAGTCTTCCATGTTATAAAGTAAATTCAGGTTTGTATTTCCAGTAGACAGTATGTAAGCAAATATATGGATATAGATCCGACAGTATGAAGAAAAATATACAGAAAAAACAAACAAAAATTGCATATTAAGATTTTTGTTTGTTTTTTCTGTATATTTTTCTTCATACTGTCGGATCTATATCCATATATTTGCTTACATACATATACATATATATATATATATATATATATATATATATATATATATATATATATATATATACAATTGAACTCATAGTGATAACCCTACAGCCACATAAGTAAATCCTCTACAAAAATCCAATGTAGTGTATCAATTTACATGCCCGTTCAGACATTGTATTTCTCATGCTTGTAATAAACCCACTACATATATTGGTTTTACTACAACTACGCATTCCCATAGACTTACTTGACATCTTTCTGATCTTAGTTCTATTAAACAACATTACTTAGAAAAACATAGCCATGTACATACTATTAGACAGATATTAGTTGATAACAATAATAATTGCACATACACACAGCAAAAAGAACCTTCACATATTGGAGGACATTTACATTAAAACGAAGCAACTCACACTCAACAAAATTACATTTCAAACTAGTCACAACACATTACATTGCATCAAGACATAGGTTCTGTTGTAATACTCCAGTCTATCGCGTGGTATGACGTCATAGAACCTTATCTTGAATTTACAGTCTGCGTCTGCTATTCTGCAACCGTTATCGCCGCATAGCAATCTTCTATGTCAAAATAACAAAATATCATATTTGACGGTCGATATCTTTGTTTCATGTCTGTATAACCACTCTGAAGATGGCTCATGTAAGTCGAAAGCTTAGGGCCAAATTAATAAAAACATATCCAAATGTTGGACAATTTTTGTCTTTATTTTCACCAGAAATTAAAGCAAACATCCGAATATTAGAACGGCTCTTGATTGGACATAATAGACATTCATTGTATGTTATATTCAATAATATATATATATATATATATATATATATATATATATATATATATATATATATATATATAATTATTTATTTAAAAATATGATTCCAACGCTACATAGAGTTCTCATGTTTCAAAACAAGGGCCGAAAACTTCAATATAATTATTTGACTTAAATTGAATTAAAGTACTAAGCTCTGTTCCATCTTCAAGCGAAATTTTTTTTGAATAACTTATTCCTGAAATTTACGCGTTTTATAAGCATATTCATTATTAAAATTAAAATTAAAATTATGTAGCGTTGGAATCATATTTTTAAAGAAATGATTATATTTATGCTCTACTTTTGTATCGAGCACTATTTTTTTAAAATAATAACAAAAATAATAAAGAACTTTGGATTATTTACCTAACGAGTTCTATCCTATTTTCTATATATTTTTACGCACGCACACACACACACACACATATATATATATATATGTATATACACTAAGTTGCATGGATAATAGTTGGTAACCTCGAGTTTCACGCTTTTGCGATCATCAGACTGGTTTATTTTTCAAAAGTGGATCTATTTATGCTTATTTGTGTTTGATTATTTGTGTGTGATGGAGGGGGGAATTTTCTTCTGTGTTTTGTTGTTGACACTGTCACATACATACAGGTGTATGCATTTTAATTCGTACAAACGCAACCATATAAATAATCTGAGGTTAAGCACAGTTACACATCCATACGTAACTGATATTCTATTTCGGTGTCAAGACTGTAGCGTTACATATGTAGCGATGTCCTCTTAACAAAGCACAGGTGGAGTTGGTCTTGACGTTTTTTAGATCGCCGTCAGACATGCTCACATTATGCACTAAAAATTAGCATACATGATGGAAAAATTGACCAAAACTTAATAAAAATAAAATTATATGTTCAAAATCTTTGTTATTATTAAGAGGGGGGACTAAAGGATTTCTTGATTATTAAATTATATTTTAATTCATTTTAGAACTTCCGAAATTTTTATTATTTATTTTGATTTCCTTATGTTAACGGGTAACTGTGAATTAGTATGGGCAATTTTGACATGTTTTTGAGTTGAAAAACACATTGATTGGAAATTCTTGCGAAAATCAGAAAATAGTTGAATTTTAATAAAACTTTCAGGACTTATTGACAAATTATTTGATAAATGTTTCTGTATTAGAAAATCTTGGTGAAATATTTTTTACATCTGTTATCGCCATACTTTTTTATTTATGAAAGTTTGATGACTAATTCATTTTTGTAGAGGTTTATGTTTATAATAGTTATAAAGAGAAGTCCTTGCAGAATTTAAATTATCAATTTTTTTTCAAAGAGGACTGCTAGTTACAGAAAATTTGCTCTGAATCGTAAAATAAAACAATGCAATAAAACTAAGACATTATTTAATTAGAAAAGCTTTTAATTGTTTTTATGACTAACATAGCACATTATTTTCTTGAGAATTTTTTCGAGGAATAATGAAGTTTTACAAGAATTGTTTTCATTTTTTAAAATTTTAATTATAATAATTTATAAAGTTTTAATTCTTTTGAAATTATTTATTAATTTGTAGTAGTTACAGGATATTGTCATTATATAAAAACTATATTTACTAATCATAAATGGAAAAACTTACTACAATTTAGCGACCCCTGGCATTTTAAAAAGAATTTAGAATTTTGGCGGGTATGTATAATCGTGTCGGTTTTTGCAAAAACGGGTGTCGATACCCGATATTATTAGAAAATAAGTGCAGTAACTATAGTTTAAAATCCACAACAAGCGTCTTTGTCAGTAAGATTATGAAGCCAAAGTATTTAAAATTCAATAAAATATTAGATTACTTAGAATATTTTCCTAAAATTTTAAGATTACTGAATAGATAAAATTATATAAAAAGGTAGTCACGTTGTATTTGTCAAATAATTTTTACAGTTAAGTGCCCTTTACTTAAAAATTCCAAACTGATTCTGACCAAAAATCAGTACGTAGCAAGGTGCATCTTAGTTATGAAGGTCCGAACTGGCGGAATTAGTGAATGTAGCGTGTCCTAGAAATAGCCATAGAGTGGCCATTGGCTTGCGACGTTTTGCATGTGGGAAAGGGTTTGCAGAGAGGAAAATAATTCATCACCAAGTAAATGCTTTTAAACTCCATCAAAACTGGAAAGTGAGAGCTAGGCGCCTCCTGCCCAGATATGGCAGTAATATTCCATTTTTAGTCTAATTTAGCTCTTGTAAAGATAGGGCATGACAAGAAGAGCCAGGTGCTTTCTGAAGCAGTACAAGAAATCGATCATCTTATCAGCATCTTCAGCGATAGATCGTATATATGTGTCCCGCGGGGTCTGGTGTAACTCTGAAAACGATTAACAGTGCCCTTTCGTCATTCGTTATGAAGTTTTCAATTGAAAAACACATAGTTGCAAGAAAGGTCAAGGTGAAGGGTTAGTCTGTATCCACAGAACAGAATATAAAATCTTCGAATCTAGTTCGAATTTCGACTCAGTTGGTTTCGTACGAGAATGACATGTCAACCTATCTGAAAAGGTCAAGTCTGTGATTATTTCATGCTGCTGGTACTACTACAACCTGTCGCATGTTATTTGTACCAGAGACAGAGACGACCAACCAAGTAACTCCTATTGCTCTGAGAAATACCAGCCTCCAACGATCTAATATGTCAAAATATAATTTAGTTTTGGATTAATCGATGCGTACAAAGGTATATATTAATGTTCGCAGCATACGTCAAATAATGTATTTTACCGTGGCACAATGGATTCCCGTTAGATTAGGTAGGACACATGCAAAGTCAAGTGGGCCCGAAATTATTTTTCTGGGACTGAATCTTTTCTGACTGTGTAAACAGTAAAACCCACAACTGCGGACTTCACAGCAACAAGTAGGAAAAATGAAATAGAGTAAACATAAATAAATAAAAACTTTCGGAATCAAGTGCCACTCGTCCGGAAGGTAGGGAATTCCAGTTCTGAGTCTATATAGTCAAGGCACATACCGGAATGAACAGTTAGTTACGAGGCACGCATTCACAATTTGTAAATATTATTCGAAATAATTTTACCATTAATATTAATGCTTTTTAATTATAATTCGTGGTAATTTATTTACTGTTATTATTAATAATATTTTTATTTATTTATTTATTTTGTCCTTTCCAATTTCTGGAACTTTCAGCTTACCGGCATATAGAGACGTTTCAGTGGCTCGGCTCGATCGGTCGAGAAGCATCGGTTGGTGAATTTCCGAAGGGCCGACCAATGATGATGTCATTGGCTGAAGTTGGTAGACGAGTGTCATGCCGTTGGTATTAGCAATTAAAGTCCGAGGTACACCGAGTCCATCCGTGATTTCTGAAGAAAAAAAAACATATAATTAGATAAGGCAGGGTTAGAGATTTGGGCGAAAGCATACCATCACAGTGACGGAAGTCACTTGCAGACATTGTCAAAATTAATACAAATATAATATATTTAATATAATATATAAAATAGACGCTTCTTGTTAATGCATGCCTTTTAGATGACAATGCATACATCAGAGTGAAAATATCAAATGGTAAATTGACCAAGAGTCCGGGACGCATGTCTTTACGAGTAGCTTCTTTTAAAACTAACAGGGATACAGACATTTTTGGATAAAGTTCAAATTAAAGAAGCCAGTTTTGCCGTATTCCATATTACACGAGGATTCGGATAAGAGCACACCTTTGTATAGACCTTTTTACATCAGATGAGAATGCAAGCAAATAATACATTTTTAGCAACTATATAAGCAGTATCAGCAAACATTGCTTCCCCTGCAGGCACATAAGTAGAGAAATTCTGTGTGATACAAAGCACAAAACCAACAGAAAGAGACGCCATCATTTTCAAGAACAAGTGAATGATTTTTTATTCTCCTCTTCGAAGACTGAATTTATTTCTAATCCATACAAATTGATTAATTTCTTCCCTTTCCTAGGATGTATTGTAAATCATACAAAGATTAAATTAATTTAAAAAAATTTACTTTTCAATCAATAATTATATTCGATAAATAAGAGATTCTTGAGTATAGAGTGGTTTAGAATTTAGAAGGAACCGAAAACCCAATCCTATACCAGGAAACACGGGATAAACCTCTAATCCTGTTCAAAAGACCGGAGGGTATGTGAACCGGATGAAAGGCGAACCTATCTTCTCATATATATATATATATATATATATATATATGTGTGTGTGTGTGTGTGTGTATGTATGTATAGATAGATAGATAGATAGATAGATAGATAGATAGATAGATAGATATACATGGTTAGTCAAAAAATGTATACACCTTTTGAAGCTTTTTCAAGAAATAATTCAATCAACAAGAACTCCCAGTAGCATTCCAGAATGAATTTTCTTCGTTCAAAGTTAAGCCTGGGTGGCATTCATAATACTAAACTGTGAATCTGAAAAGTATGCAAGTTGACTTAAGGTGTTTTGTATGTGTTTAAGGTGTTTTATATATATATATATATATATATATATATATATATATATATATATATATATATATATATATATATATATATGTGTGTGTGTGTGTGTTTAAGGTGTTTATATATGTATAAAGTGTTTATATATGTATAAAGTGTTTTATATATATATATATATATATATATATATTTATTCATTTAAGAATTATAACATAAATATGTTATAAAATCACTACAAAAATAGCCATTTTGTTTCAACACCTCCAGTATCTTATCAAGTGATGATGTTGAATGTAGAATAAATGGTTTTAAAGGCTTCAAATTAAGTAACGATCCTTCGCAAGGTAAAACGTTGTTACATAAGCTAGAATGACCAATCAAAACACAAGTATACGAGAATTCAAAAAACTTGACAACGAAGTAAGGTTATAATAGCTATTAAAAGCTTTAAAGTTGGGCTTTATACTAAAATAGAATTTATTCTAACCAATAAGTATTAAATTATTTGAAACAAAATGGCTATTTTTGTAGTGATTTTATAACATATTTCTGTTATAATTTTCAAATAAATAATTATATCTGCTCTACTCTGTATTGAGCACTCTTTTAAGAATAGTAATTGTTGGTTATTGGAATTTATTCCGTATACACCTATCCTATACTTGGATATATATATATATATATATATATATATATATATATATATATATATATGAATTGTGATCAAATACAGATCAAATATGGATCGTAATCCGCAGCTTTAATAAAAGTGAAACGTGTTGGATTGATTAACATTTCCTGTTTGTTCTTTATCTTATATATATATATATATATATATATATATATATATATATGTGTGTGTGTGTGTGTGTGTGTGTGTGTGTGTGTGTGTGTGTAGCAGTAGTAGTAGTATGTTTTGCCACACGTATCAGTGTATGCCTGTCTGCAGACCTCTCCTGCTGCAAAGGTCTGCGTTTGTTCAACCCACATGAATCCCAACTGTAGTTAATACCGCACCTATGGGGAGCGGACCTTAGTTACAATTTCTTGCACAGCGTATAATCTAGAGAAATCAGTATTTAAACATGGCTGGTATCTCTCGAACCTTCAGTCACGATGGCTTCTGACTTTGTGCTTGCATAAACACCGGCAGCTTCGAAACAATTTCGTTTACCCAATTACACTCACAAGTCAATCCGCAATATGATTTTTAATCACTTTCCAACGGCGCCGCGCACTAGGACCAGCTCCCCATTATCAACTCGATAAATTAATTATGGTGAGATTAAAACCTCAGACTCATGATCAGAACGCTAATGTTGTAACCACTGAACCATGCATGCATTCATATATATATTTTTTTTTTAATCATTTGTGATATTAATTTTATTATAGTATGTAAATTTATACCTACTTTGCACAGTCCTTTTCCGATTACGGTACATCATATATCGTGGCCACACCCAACACAGGATCAACATCACAAGGGTCAGAAGGACACTGATACTGATGGTCAAGGCCGCAATAGTTGTGATGTTGCAGTCCAAATAACATTGGGGTGCGACAGAGGAAGAATTGGTCGCGGCTTTATTTGGAGTTCTGCCCAAAATAAATAAATAAATATTCAGTACATTAAAGAAACAGATACGTTGGAAACTTTTTTAGTTTTTAAGGATTTACTTTTATAAGTGAGACTACGGGATCTCTTTTATTATTGTTAACAACTTACATAAACCCCGGTGCAGATGTGCTTTAAGATGATAAGTATCGGACAGTCACGAGTAAACTTAGACCCGCGAGTTGCAGGCGGCACGATTAGCTTTCTGAACACTATGCCAATTTCATGAGAAAAATAACGTTTATTAAAATTTTCTTTCGTTCTCACTTGTTCACGCACACACACTCTCATACATAAAAACGTACATAATGTTTATTGAATTTCATAATCTTTTGTTGAATGTAACGTTTTTAGCATTTTGACCCATTGACGATTTTTCTATAATGAAGTTCATAAGGATAAATATCTTTTGCTTTAGAAACAATAAACTTTCATAATTCTTTTTTTTTCTCTGGAGAAGAAATATGTTTTTCTTTTAAAATGTTAATTAATAAATTAGAAACTGAACATACACATTAGTGATAATAATATCATTAGTGATAATATTATACCAGAACTTTATTTTTTTTTAATTATAAAAAAAAGTCTTTTCTACAAAGTCAAAAAAAAAAAAATCAATTTTTCTTCATTTTTTATGCAGCTGCTTACACTGAAGAAACCAAAGATCTGGCCATATTTAATAATATATTTAATATAAATACTATAAAATACAAATTTATCGATCAGCCTGCATAGCCCCCTTCTTGCTCTTCCTTACGCTAATACAACACCACACAGTAACCCTCAACCTTGAGTGGCTCTTGGGTCTTGTATTGAGTGAACGTTAGTAAAAAAAATGTGATATGAAGAGAAAATAATGACATAATCAAGATGTTGACATTCCACACTACATCAAAACAGTTAGGAAGGAAACACTCATGAGTACTGGAAAGAGAAATAACAGTAACTGTAGTTCAGTCACTTGTGTGCCATGCGTGATACACGCTTAGGCGATCATGTATCTTTCGATACATGACTGACGAGGCAGAATTTTTTCCATTTCTTTCTGCAGTAGACCAGTCTTTCTTTTCCTTACCTTATGATAACTAGTATCACCCTCTTAGTAGAATTTATAAATATACTATCGATAAGATTCAACTGAAAGTTGAGTTTTGCACCGGAGATTTTATAAGCACGTTATTGTACTATAGTCATAGGGTATGTATCTACATATATCTTGATATTTCAACAGTTTACGACAACGGCATATATGAAGCCGCGAAGATTACGCCAGTTTTTCAAGTTGAGAAGACCTGCCACGTATATCTGCTTGCCTTAGAAAGCAGCATTTGCATTCCTGGCTTATTCACATGCACGAACACTGACTTCTGTCATCGATGGTAAAGACAGAGCCATCTTAAAACTCAGATTTTTCTCAAATCTCGGAATTATATTTGCGACCGACGCTAAATACGGAACTATCTCAGAATTCTGATTCATCTCAGATCACGGAATGATACTTTTCACCGACGGTAAATACGACAGGTATTTTATCACTTGATGAGTTTTACAAGCGTAAAGCCTAATTATACTTACGCTATGCTGCTGGGGCCGTTTTCGCGCAGAAAACTGTCTGTAGAGAAACCCGTGATCGACTCCTGCCCAGGCGGTTTACAGCAATAACGATCATGCTTGGTTCCACAACAGTAGACTTGGTTAGGGTCAGCTGACCACCTCGGACAGTAGAAACCATTATTCCACTGACCGTGGGCATCGATGAAACCTTTACAGTAATCTTCCTTGACCCCTGCTAAAGAAACAAAAACAAAACAATAAACAAACAATTAAATCACAAACAACTGAAGATGATTCATGAACCACGCAATAATTTTCGAATTTCACTAGTTATAAATCTGCATTTTATTTTTTGTATTGGCGGTATTTTAAAGGCAACAAACATTGAATTACTACTACAGCCATCGAACACCGAGGAGAATTACTTACTACTATTTCTGTACAATAGAGCTTAGAACGTAAACACGTAAAAAATATGTACTAAAAGCGAACCTCTTGAAAAGCGAATAGAACTATAATCACGATGGACTTTTTCTACACTGCCTTAAGAAAAGAAAAACTGTTTCTAATATGATAAAAAAAAAATGAATAAAAACATTTATAAAATTTTACTCGTCCATTATATTCAATGAAACATGTATAACAAAGATTTTGTTAAAATATACAATACATACATGTACACACACAGAAGCACACAAAACACACACACACACACACATATATATATATATATATATACACACACAGAAGCACACAAACACACACGTATATATATATATATATATATATATATATATATATATATATATATATATATATATATATTCATAACCACCTGTTATTTAAAAAATATATGTGCGCCGATAGCCTAGGAATAAGGATATTTGACTGATGTCAAATCAGTTGAATTTTGATCCTGGCTTGAAGCAATCAGATGTCTAGCCCTACTGATGATACAGCGAAACAGTCTGTCAGTGGATGACAATATATATATATACGAATTAAAGCTATTTACTTCTTAAACATTAATGATTTTAGACATCACTTTGAAGACTCTCATTTAAGTATGAGACTAATTATAGTATATATCTGGGTAATAAAACAGATAAATAAATATATAGATATGAACAAATTGTGACAAAAAGATAAATTTTAATAAACAGACAGGCTAATAGATTTGAATCGTTTAACCATTAATAATTGTGAACCTTAATATGAATACCTTTAAACGCTTTTAGCAGACGGCATTAAAACTAGCCCCTGTGGAGGACTCTTGATTGGTCCTTCATCCCAATAGGTAGGGAGGAGTTGATGCTATAGGCAACAATAAACTACAGAAGAACTTAAAATTGATCGCTGTATTTAAGTATTGCATTAATATTTAATCTTGCCTTTTAAAAGTTCAACGATAATTCTTCTGCAGCCATTTTAATTTAAAGACAATTTCGATTATTCCCAAATTTATTTTCATGTTATAAAAATTATTATCCTACAAAAGATTCGTCGCAAAAATAACGTTAAAAAACACCGAAAACAATCGCAGAAATGAAAATTTGGGAATCCAAAATTTCAGGAATGTTTTTTTTAATTTGCTCAAGAAGTCGGCCTGATTCCAAAATGATATGATATGTTGGGAGTAAAATTGAAAATTTTATTTTGAAATATTGTAATTTGAGAACAGTATTTTTTTTCATTTGAGCATGAGCTATTGAAAGTTAGAGAGTTGTGTCCCCTTAATTGTTTTTATCAGTAGAAGTCAAGATGGCGGATCTGAAAACAATTGCAGTAATGAAAATTTGGGAATCCAAAATTTCAGGATTGCGGGTCCAGATCCAGTCCGGAATGATTTTAATTTGCTCACGGAGTCGGCCTGATTCCAAAATGGTATGATATGTTGGGCTACGACCTCTAGGAGTAAAGTTGAAAAAGTGTGCCACAGTGACACACTGACATTCGCATTTATTAGATCGATATATAGATAGATAGATTGTGATTGAGAATTACATAGATATATAGACAGATATGAAAAGATTGTGCCACACAGACAGACAGACAGACAGATAGATAGATAGATAGATAGATAGATAGATAGATAGATAGATAGATAGATAGAGTTAGGGCAGACTAGTTTAACCATTAATGTCTGTGTATTTCCTTTTGAAAAACACATTTAATGAGATGAAATATTGTTTAAATATTAAATATTGATAATTGAGAGGTAGATAGATATATAGATAGATTTGGACAGATTGTGCCAAATTCAGACGGACAGACAGACAGACATATAGATAGATAGATAGATAGATAGATAGATAGATAGATAGTAGACTAGCTTAACCATTAATATTTGTGGATCCCCTTTTAAAAGTTCTTATCTAAAATATTAAGTATTAATAACTGAGAGGTATATATATATATATATATATATATATATATATATATATATATATATATATATATACTCAAACTACATATTTATTTCTCGTAGTTGATTTATTTTGCTTTGATTATTGATAACGTCTGCGCATGTCAAGAAATACATTTTTAGTAATTTCTCTGTTATAACTGGAAGTGTAAAGCTAACTGGTTATAGTAGATTCGGAAGTTTAAGATTTAATAGGAGTAGATAGGTTCGCCTATCATCTGAGTCATACTCGTCCCCAGTCTTCCGGTCAGGAGTCGAAGCTAATCCCTGGTTTCTTGTTTAGTATTGGATTTCCAGTTCCTTTAAAAGTTTAAACTTTATACTTATAGCGTCTCCACCTAAGCACTGAAATTTTATTTAGTATTTTTTCATCAGTAGGAGTAAATAAGTTCCCCTATCGTCCGGTTCACACCCCTTCTTAAAACAGGAATAGATAGATAGATAGACAGATAGATAGATAGATCCAGCGAAAGTCACCCATGAAATACAAGTAATTAGTTGTAAGAAAGGTATGAACATATGTACATCAAATTGTCTTTACATTAAAATGGCCGCCGAAGAATTATCGTTGAACTTTTAAAAGGCAAGCTCAAATATTAATGCAATACTTAAATGCAGCGATCAATTTTAAGTTCTTCTATAGTTTATTGTTGCCTATCGCATCTATTGTTTCTTGTTCAGAATTGTTTATTCCGGTTCCTTCTAAAGTTTTCTCGTTCTCTCTCACTCCCAGTAGCCCTAGATTCTTAGTGGCATTATCGCGTTGCTTGAGGTGAATTGATGAAAAAAAAAGTGTCCAAATAAACCAACCGATTATTGAATGAACTGCAGCAGCACTTTCTAACAGTCTATTTCTCTTTCACTCTTGGAAGAGCAACATACCATTCATTCATGTGTTTCGAATTTGGCGCTGATGAAAGCCACAGATATGTCTTGCTGGAAGTAGGTCAGGACAATTTTGAATATATGGATAATGTCTGGATGAGAGATTAGTTCGTTTCTTTCCGCTCCTTGTCGACTTATCTTGTAAACGACGATTTTATCAAAGAATCTACGAGGCACATATCAGAAAACCGGTATGAGGGTGGAAGGTGGACAAATAACTGCTCATCAACAGAGCTTCATACGCGTGGATGTACGTGTGGGTTCGTCGACCGGAATGATACGAAGTTTTGACGAAGATGAAGAGTGAATTAACTCTAGGTAGTCCCGGGAGATGACAGCTTGTACTATTTAAACTATTTATTTTCGGACTAATATCCTCATCTTCCTTCTTTCAGTCGTTGGGTTATCCGTTACAGGATGTCCTTATCGACTATTTCATTCTTTTCAATTTCCGACTTTTGCATGATGATGGCAGTTTCCTGCGAGCTGCATTGACTTGCTATAAAAATTATCAATTTTTTATCCGTGATTTGAGCCGTTGGTGCATATACTACCGTAATGCATATATTAAACATTTATTTCTCTTTCAGTTTATTTATGTGTTAGTCACTTATGAAGTCCCCATTATTTTTCCTTCACGTTTAAAATACATTAATGCTTAAAACGTTCATTTCATGCTTGATATTTCTAAATATCCCACATTGACATAATTCCCTTATATTTCAAGTCCCAATTGCCATTTTCTGTTTGTTGCGAATGACGGTCAGGTGACACCTGTCGCGCATGTCCTTTCTTACCGGAGAAGAAGCCAGACCCAAAGGACTTGACCCTTTTCACATTGTTATCTCTTGTATTTGTATTTTTTTTTATATAGCTATGATTTATCTTGGAATTGATAGAGGAGTGGATTCTACACAGTGATTTTATTGAGACACTACCTCTAATTAACTGACTTTTAATAGAAATAGAATGATTATTCTATGCACGGAACATCTGAGCAAGAAAGAAAATTTACGGAAAATGAAAACAAAAAGGACATTGCAGGAAGAGACAGAGGAAATTCTAATAAAAAAGGAAAGAGGACTTAGAGAATTTGACACTCACAACATATATTGAAGGCAAGAATTGCAGAGGGAATATCGAGTAATCTATCTCAGAGTATATGTAAAAGGATGCAAGAACAGAGAGTGGGAAGGAAAGTAAGGAGATAAAGACAGCAATTAGTGGAAAGCCATGATGCCCACGTCCTAAAGGGATAGAGCGTTTAGAAGAGTAAGAGGACATACTGAGAATAGGTAGTTGTGGAGAGTCATAATCGCCCACGTCCTGATGGGATATGGTATATGGAAGAATTAGTATAGAGGACAATCATTACTTAAAGCTTCAAAATATAACAAGTTATGGAGAATTATGATCACCCACGTCTTGGAAGGACACGGTGCACAGGAGTTTAAGAGGACAAACATTGCTTAAAACTATAATAGTTAGGAAATTGTGGAGGGCCATCATCGTCTACGCCCGGAAGAGTTGTGGTACATGGGCGAAGAAGCATCAGAGGATAATCATTGTTTAAAACTTCAAAAGACAGGAAGTTGTAGAGGGCCATGATAACCCTAATCATGAAGGGACATGATACAAAGAAGAAGAATCTTTCTCTGTATAATGCGCACTTAGCCGATGTACAATTTTGCTTAAAGAAGATCCTGCGCATTATACAGTAAAGGCAATTGTTTTGAGTCGGTGTACAGGTTGGAGGGACAACTACCCACACACCTTTTACATTTCAATGTCTAGGCGAACTCAGAATGAAACCTGTACACCTATAAATGATTACATAATGATACCAAGCGAAAATAATGATGAAATCTAAGAAGCAAGACCACCAACAGCTTGCAGCAAATCGTTGATTTTTTTTTTCTTTGTTTCTCGAAACGGATTTGCTATTTAGTGTCTGTAAGATTTTCGCTATGATGTCTGGATAAATGACGGAAAACTAAATGAGTCACCATGCACGTTCATTTTTTTTTTTTTTTAATCTTTTTTTTAAAAATATTTTCTCTATTTGTTTTAAGAGTAGAAGAACGAATTAAAAGAAAATACATTTTTCTGCTAAAATATTCCCGGTGGTGTGAATTACGGTATTTTGAAATAAAGTATATTTTGCAAAAAAAAAAAAAAATCCTAAATGTTTTTTAAATCCGTCACTTATGAAGTCCCCATTTTTTAACCAGTTGCTTATCCCAAGCAACGCGATAATGCTTCTAAGATGCAAAGAGAATGATAAATATTTTAAAAAGAGCCGGAAACCTCAATCCTAAAAAACCTGAAATTGTTTAGTCTGAATTTGAAAATTGGTTAGTTCAACTTGTTTAGTCTCAATTTGCAATTGATTAGTCTAACTTGAAATTGTTTAGTCAGTCAGTTATGTGCCATGCGTGATACACGCTTAGGCGATCATGTATCGCAAGATACATGGCTGACGAGGCAGATATTTTTCCCGCAGTAGGTTACCATTTCTTTCTGCGGTAGACCAGTTGCCATCCAAGGCTATAGAACCTGGTCCGTTCTGCTATTTAACAATAGCTGGGGAGAGAAGAAGATTCATACCTTTCCCAAGGGAATGTAATGTATTCGACTGGAATTCGAACTCGGATCTCCGATTCCTCAATCTGAGCCGCTATCAATTACTTCTCTGAATTTGATTAATCCAACTTGAATTTGATTATTCCCATCTTGAACTTGAAATGCTATAGACTGAAGTGGTGAAGATTGTAGTGGCCGGGAAAGAATCCTACTGGTATTCTGTTGCTTTGAAGAAGCTATCCGAGTGGAACTTATCACTTACAAAAGGAATAAGAAAAGAAAAGGTGGTCAGCTGAGTAGCGAGTCTTTCCTGGTAGGGTGAGAGTTGGGGGAACTAAAGAATTTAGCTGATTTGAATATTCTCCATAGAAATAGCGGTAGAGTAGCCACAAAAGGGTTATTTATTATTTCTAAATTGCCATGTATTTCTGGGAAATCTTTTTTTATGCTCATGTTCTCAATAGGTTGAGGGTTACTGCGTTGTATTGTACGAGCATAAGAAAATGAAAGAACTGAAGTTTATGGAGTTATAATGATCTACCAAGCGTAGCTTAGATGTGTCGAAACTATGGGGAACCCAGTGAGGATCGAACTCACTAACCAGTCGCAATTGTTCAAGGGAGAAAAAGCTTGCTAATCATTACACCGCCTCAAGGTGCCTAAGTGATTTTCTAAGCGTCGCTTAGATGTGGCACGCGACCGAAAGTGCTGAGCACCCAATGAGGATCGAACTCACTATTCAGTCGTAACTGTTTTAGCGAGACAAGCTTGTTAACCATTCCACCACGCCGAGTTATCCGACGTCTATGGAGTTAAACTGGAAAAATAACGGCTCACCGTTGACTTGACGAGACCAAGATTGATATAAAATGTACAGTGCTGTTCGATAAAAGTGACTCACCTGATTTTTTTTAACTAAATGTTCTCTTCTTCGATGAAACGAAAGGGGGTGAATGTTATGACATGGGTGCCCCAATCTCCTGACCCCATAGAAAACTTATGGAGCATGTTGCTCAACAGCTTTCTCGAGAGCCAGTACTTTATAATGCTTCATAAGTTTTCTATGGGGTTGAGGTCAGGAGATTGGGGTGGCCATGTCATAAAACTCACCTGTTTTTCCTCAAAGTATTCCTTCATCAATTTTAATTTGTGACAGGGAGCATTATCCTGCATAAAAATGAGCTTGGTGGGGTCGATTTGCACACTTTCAGCAGAAGGGAGCAGACAAGACTGTAAAATTCTCTTGTACTGCTCGCTCCTGAGGATCTTTTCAATAGGTTTTAAGAAACCAGTTCCATGAAAAGAAAAGCATCCCAGAACATTATACTGAACGGATGCTTGACAGTACTTACTGCTAAATTCAAAAGAGCTTTCAAAGCTTCTTCTTCGGATTTTAGATCGCTTATCCTTTGAATTTAGCTCAACTTTCGTTTCATCGGAGAAGAGAACATTTAGTAAAAAAAAATCAGGTGAGTCACTTTTATCGAACGGCGCTGTATGTGGTTCCAGTCTTTCTCCTCATTTTTTTTCTTATTTAGAATAGATTACTATTTTGAGAAATATCTAACTTAAGAAATAACCAATTTTTTTTAATGAAATTTTTTTGTTTTTTTTTTTTTTTTCTTTAAAAAAAAAAAAAAAAAAAATTGCGTTCTTCCGGGCCACTGAAAATCTTAACGTTAAACTCGCGGGTCGTAGTTTGCCCAGTCTTGCTTAAAAAAATAAAAAAAATAAAAATTGCTATATTCTGAAACAGTTGTTCACTACAAGATAAATATTTATTTTTCTGCCTGGGCCGCACGCATACAAATGTTTCTGTAGATAAGTGTACTAAAATGATTTTTTTTTTTTTTTTTTAAATGATGCTGGGAATATATGTGTACATATACCAAGTAGTACTGAAAAGTTCTCGGCCTAAGCAACTTTCCAAAATCTGATCAAATGATTAAACATTAGGATATTTTATATGGATATCCTTTTCAGCTGGGCCAGTAAACTAGGTTTCATCATTCT